ATTCAAAATGCGTTAAAAATATAACTCAAATATCTACAACTTCGTTAGAAATAGATCTTTTCGAATTTGGACTTTTACTATGCCAAAAATGGGTCTCCATTTTCGGCTAAAAATCTGGAATATATCTTGTGCGAATTGGAAATTAATTTTGATAATATTTCATTCATTTTTGACTTCTAATTGCTTCTAATCGACCCTTAGCACTCTCGAACTTTCATCGTGAGCCCCGACATAATTTATGAATATTTGGATTTTAGTCCCTGAACTTTCACATTCTTCCATTTTGGTCATTTTTCATTTGTTTCTCCTTATTTCCACTACATTCATCACTTAAACTACAAAACATGAATAGCATAGACTTAAAGCTATCACCTCGTTATTATCTCAATGAGTTTCAGCCAATCCACACAAGGTTTTCATGTTTTCTCCTTATTTCCACTACATTCATCACTTATCCTGCAAAACATGAATTATATAGAATTAAACTATATTTCAACATATTAATCAATAATTACTCATATTTTACAGTAAAATAAGTATGTAAAAACGTACTTATCACAACAAGAAGATGCATCTCCCTTGGACATTCCATATACCTGCTAATGAAACTTACATCATGCATTATATCATGCCTTGTTGCAGTCAAATACATTAAACTTCCCACAATTTTCTTGTATAGAGTGTTGTCCACCTTTCTTCCTTCAACATCTTTCATAAGCTTTAAACTAAACTCAATTGGTATGTTAATAGAATTACAATTCTTCATCTGAAACTTGTCTAAAATTTCTTGCACATATTTCTTTTGAGAAATAAAAATACAAGCAGGAGTTTGCACCACTTCTATGCCAAGAAAGTAGTGTATCATTCCAAGATTAGACATTTCAAATTCAAGCATCATGGAGTGCTTAAAATTTTCAAACATGGCACCATCATTTCCAGTATAAATCAGATCATCCACATATAAGCAAACAATGAACATTTTTTTCTCTATCTCCAAATTTAATGAAAAGTGCATGCTCATATGGACATTTCTAAAAANGAAAAGTGTATGCTCATATGGACATTTCTAAAAACCTTCCTTCAAAAAATAAGCTTCAATACGAATATACCAAACTCGTGGAGCTTGTTTTAGTTCATATAGAGCATTTTTTAGTTTACACACTTTATGCTCATTTCCAATCATGATATAACCAGGAGGTTGCTCAATAAATACTTGTTCTTCCAAGTCTCCATGTAAGAATGCCGATTTTATGTCCAACTGGAAAATAGCTAATGAGTTTTTACGCAGCCAAAGTAATCACCAATTTGATTGTATCATGCCTCGCAATCGAGGCAAAAACTTCTTTATAATCGACGCCGAATTTTTGTTTATAGCCTTTTGCTACCAAACGCGTCTTGAACTTGTCAACTTCACCATTCTCCTTTAGCTTCGTCTTATATACCCACTTCACACCAATGGACTTTTGCCCTTTTGGAAGCTCCGTCGACTTCCAAGTATTATTTATTTCAATGGCTGCGATTTCAACATCCATTACCTTCTGCTACTTTAGTTCTTTCACGACATCTTCATAAGTTATTGGGTCACAATCTGAAAATAAAGAAAAATGAGTAAGGGGATCGTCAGTTTGGTCAATCCCGATGACCTCATAATCAGTCATCCAAGCAGACCTCTTTTAACTCATCAAGGTCGTTGTTCATCTTCTATTTCAGCGATAGAAATGCGTTGACTGATTGCTGGTTGTTGCTCATTTTAACAAGTTGCGCATTCTCAAAAAGGCTGTTGCATTTCTTCTCCATTTTCTCCATCAAAATCATCTTGTATTTGTTGTTCAGTATTATTTTCATCCCAAATCCAGAACTGTTATTCATCAAAAATCACGTCATGACTAATGGAAATTTTCTTGATGACAGGATTGTACAATTTGTACGCTTTTGACTGGTCACTAACACCAAGAAAAATGCATTTTTCTCCTTTGTCATCAAGCTTTCTTCTTTTCTGATCGGGTACGTGGGCATACGCAATGCAACCAAAGATTTTGAAGTAATTGACACTTGGTCTTTGTCGATTCTAAACTTCTTCAGATGTCACGTTATGAACAACAAGTGTAGGACTTCTGTTCAGTACATGAATGCTCCATTTGACATGTTTGCGCCAAAAAAATTTTAGGATACCACTTCTTGAGAAAATAATCAGTTCCATGTTCAAGATTGTGTGATTCTTTCTCTCCGAACGCCATTATGCTATGGGGTATAAGCTGTAGTAAGCTGCTTCTGAATCCCACACTCCTAACAAAAATTTATAAATTCTTGTGAGTTGTATTCTCCATCACGATCATTGTGAAGAATCATTATAGGCATGCCTACTTCTTTTTCAACTAGCGTCTTGAAGTTTTTGAAAGTTAAAAGGCTTCAGATTTCTCCTACAAAAAATAAACCCAAGTTTTCCGACTATAATCATCTATGGACGTTATAAATAATGTTTACCACCATTTGATGTCAGATTAATGGTCCCG